ATCAAAATGCTGAAACGCACGTGCAAATATTGTGCATGTGAACAGCTGCGTTTTGGTGTAAAGTTTTGTTACGAATTCGTCTCATCATTTATTGAACTCATGACAATACTCTTTTCAACGTTATGAATTTGTTCTACAGCCCATCAGTTCATGTGTAAACAATACCTTTAAACAGTATAGAATATTTTGCAAAATCTAGTATAGAACAGTTGACTGAAGTACGTGGCTACATTTACACTAGTGAGTCTAAACTTTTGATGGGTAGTATATATACTATCCCAAAAGGAAACGCATAGGCGTTTTGATTTATTATAAATCTATTAATTACCAATTGTGTTCAAACAATCGTCAAAATATGTAACAAAAGTGTCGATAAGATGATTTTGCACTATTGCACAAGTGAAAAATCGACTTTACCTGAAATTGTTAATTTTGATGAGATTTCTTACAAGAATTAAAAAGGCATCGCCACAACGCAACATAAATCATCTTCCAGTTGAAATTGTGCAGCAAAGAGCATGCACTGTCTTGGTATAAAAAAATCAGATTACTTTCGGAAATCAGCATTCGTTTTGAAGGAGTTTCAAGGTCAAATCACTACGCCTCGTCATGACGCTGCGACACGGAACATCGCCATTGAAAGAATGCACGCTGGAGATAACCAATTTTCTGTTGCCAGGCGTCTGAATGTTAGTCTGAACACGATATCACTGCTTGCAGCTCGTTAAAACCAAACAGGTACATCAAATGACCGTCCCCGTACAGGCAAACCTCGAGTCACCAGTGCAGCCCAAGATCGGTACATCCGGGTACTACATTTGCGTGATCGTACTGCAACGGGTGAGCGCACAACAGCCATGGTGCCTGGGCTTCGGCGGGTATCCGGTCAAACTGTAACAGGTTGAGAGAAATTGGACTGAGAGCCAGGAGACCCGGCGTCGGGACCATGCTACGTGGTCACCATCGCGCTCAACGTCTCCGTTATCTTACCTAATCCACTTGGATTTATAGACATTACCCTCTTCTAACCTGATGTTAAAAATCATGTCCTACTATTTGTGAACGAGTTATGCATGTTTAAAAATACAACATTTTCGCAACAGATTTCAGGGTTATGCGTTTTCTTTCTGAAATAGTATATTTGGGATTGCGCTTTTTCAGTACAGTACAGATTCTAGTACTTTGAAGAAGAAGGAAATAGTTGTCGAAAAATGCTGATTTTGACCGTAATAATATTGGAACTTTGCATAGTTTCTGATATCAAGACAGTGACACTCTATTGTTCACCAATCAGTGAACCAAGCCGGCTCTCCATCTGTTTGATAATGGACGTAAGCCAGCTGACTTACAGCAGAGACCAGCTTCTGTGTATTCATAAGCTCCAATCAAAGTGACAACGGCTTGAACCCTGAGTTATTTCATCACGTCAGAGAACTGGGCATAAGTAATACAAAGGAGAGGGAAAACGAGGTGGCTGTAAAAAGCACAGACCAATCAAGATTCAGACTGGAGTGTGTAGTACCAACCCAGTGAAACAATGCAAATTTCAATGCAATGTTGAGAATCTGATCTTTGTCTCAACTAAGACAAAAACTAACAATGTTAAAGTGTGCTTATGGAATGCCCAATCATTCAAAAACAAGACAATTGAAATTAGTTATTACATTCTTGATTGTGATATTGACATTTCTTTTCTTACGGAAACATGGTTGTCAGTGAGTGGGGATGATGCTAAATGTTCTGAAATGACACCAACTGGGTACAAGATGCATCAGGTACCAAGGATGAACACAAGAGGCGGAGGGGTGGCATGTATATATAAACAGGACTTGCATGTAGGATTCTTCAAACTCTCAAGTGACTTGTCTACATTTGAGCACATGTCAGTTGTAATTACTTGCGGGAAAACATCTATAAAAGCAGTTTGCATTTACAGACCTCCACCCTCAAAGAGCAATAACTTATCAGCAAATCAACAGGACACTGTCAGACAGACATGTTCTTGATTGTGGAGTGCCACAAGGCTGAGTTTTAGGACCAATACTGTACACTATGTACACCGTACTCCGGGACAACTGATTTCTGATCATTGCATCAGGCGGCACTTTTATGCTGATGAATCCCAATTGATCGACAGCTTTAAACCAAGTCCAGACAATCAGCAGAAGGCCAAGGATAACATGGAGTCTTGTCTCAATGATGTCAAGTCATGGATAACAAACAACAAACTGGTACAAACGATAGTAAAACAGAAGCCACCAGTATTGCTCCACGTCAAAGACAGAAGAAGTGTCAGCTTTCTTCCATTTCCATTGGACAATCCTCAATCCCTTTCTCTCCCTCTGTAAGAAATCTTGGTGTTTATGTGGACTCACATTTATCTATAGAAAGTCATATCAACCACTTATGCAAAATATGTCACTTCCATCTCCGAAATATTGGGTCCATGCGCAACATCTTAACTATGGAAGCAACGGCCACCCTCGTTCGATCTGTAGTTCTATCACGCTTGGACTACTGTAATAGTTTACTATTTGGTATATCTGATGAACAATTACAGCGCTCCCACGACCGAAAGCTGAAAATACACAATGCCATTTACAAAAGTGGTCTGATTGTGTACTTTTGTTGGGTGGGCGATTAGGTGCCTGACTCCGAGGGTGTAGGTTCGAATCCCGGGTGGGACTCAACCCGACAATTGTACTAGAATCTGTACTTTACTAAGAAAGTGTAATCTCAAATAAAACATGTGTTATATTTGACCACTTTCTGAATGACATTGTGTATTCACACCCTGGGATGTACACAAATCATGTCTTTTTAAAGAAATGGTTATGCCCTAATGGTGAAACGTAATATGAACCCACATTAATAATAACTGACCTTGCACTGCACTGCATCGCACATAAATGTGAATTAAGTAATGGTTCAGAAGGGTTCAGTGTCATGGCGGCATCAATTTTCACTAAAACAGTCATTTAACTACAGTACTTACTCAGTATCACCAGCAGTATAAATCAGGGTAGGGTATCCAGGCACCCCATGTTGAGCCCTTTCAAGACCTGGATAGCCGGACATCGTCACCGGGCGTAGCCCACTCTCAGTTCCCAAGGGTAAATATGGTGAGTGAGAATCAACATCTCTATAATAAATAGTAGCTGGAGGAATTCTGGAACAGGACGAGTCACATGGTCATCGGTCTCGTTCTAGGGCATCTAATCAGGTGCATTGACGTCATTTTATAGGCATATTGTTAACAAGTTATTGCCTGTTTACATACATACCTGCGTGAAACTCAGATCAAAGCACCATGCTTCTTGTGTTAAGTGTACAAGCCTTCTTTAAAAGTTAAAAGATATATACACCCTTTAAAAAAATAGGAAACGCATATGTGAGTTTGAGAATATTGGACTCATGTACGGAACCGTAGAGGGACATCGGATGAGAAAATAAATATCAATAATAAGTCGTGGCCACGAGATATTAAGTCGAGGCCACGAGATACTAAGTCGTGGCCACGAGATAATAAGTCGTGGCCACGAGATAATAAGTCGTGGCCACGAGATAATAAGTCGTGGCCACGAGATAATAAGTCGTGGCCACGAGATACTAAGTCGTGGCCACGAGATAATAAGTTGTGGCCACGAGATAATAAGTCGTGGCCACGAGATAATAAGTCGAGGCCACGAGATAATAAGTCGTGGCCACGACATAATTTAGCCAATGGAAATTCAGGTTGCCTATTTTCGATTTTAGGATGGAGCACCTCGAGCGTTTTCTCAAAGAAAGGGGAGTTCCTGACGAAAACGTTCAGCTTCTTGGTGCTGACAAGGTAGAAGGAAGATAGGGTTTTCGTGTAAAACTTATTCTTTAGGTTTGCATGTAGAAATCACATTTATTACTCGGTGTGTATTTTCCCGGCAAAAGGTTCTCTCGGCCCAGGTGTATGTAGCATTAGGCGATGAAGAAGTATGTTTTGCTTTTACGCGATGTTGTACCATATTTATGATTCTTGACCATTTTGTATAAAGAGCTAATGACACAGTTCAGTGTTTTCGTGCAACTCGAGTTTTGAACGGGCGAGTCTTGAATATTACTAATATACATAGCAATAATCACTGTAATGTTATCTTCCATACAAAATCGTTTTGACATCATCAGACAACCAAATATATAGTGGTTCTCTTTGGGGTTTGATTTAAACAACCCCAAATAAATAAGTATAGAAATATAATGAAACAAAGAAACTATTTAACAAAATGGGATATGCCATAGCTTATATGTAAACATGTCCACAACACGCATTGGCAACATTTATCAGTAATGAACGAAGTAATAAGATACATGTATATCGAAAATATTGAAATAATCATTTATGCTGGCAATTAGCATCGATTTTTGTAGCATATTTTCGATTTTGAACGGGCTTAAAGTTCTGGAATACAGTCATTACCATTACATTGTTAAATGAGTTAGAATTAAATTATAAGATAAATAACATGTAATATTAAGATGAGTTGAGATTTATTACTATTATTCATATGATTCAAAATATAACCATTGATGTGACTCAACCACTGAAGAGATAAAAATATTTATGTTAAGATCGACCCAAGCCTTATCCTTGAGATGAAGGATGAAGAGCTCTCTAGGTATATTCCTACATACGGGGACAGACTTGCGACGGTAGTCTGGTGCAAGTCAAAGCAATCGGAAAACCCAGAAAAACAGACCAAATCAAGCGGATTGTTTGACAGACTTCGAGAAAATGTCAAACCGAAGAAAGAGGGGTCAGAAAGATTTTGAATTTCTTCAAGGTAACAAAAACGCAAGAAAAACATCTCGGCGAATAGAAGTTGGCTGGATAGATTTTGACACGAAGGTTAATGCCTTTAAGCAAGTGCGGAGTCAAAACGGGGGTGGGACAAGGCATTTATCAGTTTTTAGGGATGCTGGACAAGCAGATATTCTGGCAGTAGCCAAACAACTGTTCTTTCCCGATGGTGAAAGCAAAAAGGGGAAACGAAGCACGATTCACTTTCTCCATCAAAGATTTTAAAGGGGAAGATATGGGCGAAAAAACAGTGGCTAATGTATATGAGGAAACTAAAGTAAAGATTCTTCGTTTCTACATGTACACAAAGAAAAAAGAGGATGAGCAAGATCTATCAACTGACGTGGTCCAAAACCAGCCTAACAATGAATCGGTGAGTCAGATAAAAAGGTAAAAACACATTTTTATAACACATAACACCGTCACTTTAACCTTCCATTTAGTTTCGGAACATGATTACAGACTAAACATATATTATGGTCATACATATATCTGTGTGTGCGTGCGTGAGTGCGTGCGTGTGTGTAGTTTTTCTTCCAAATTCCCCATTATATCATAAAATGTGGCGTCAACATCTGAGCGGAATGAACCTTTTCTATCTATGAAGCCTCACGCCTCAGCGACATAAAATAACATTGGTAATATCATCACATCGAACGATTTCATCAGACAATCAAGTTGAGGATGGACATATCTTGCATATACATTCAGACGAATATTTTAAAGTAAAAAAGGCAGGGGTCAATATTGTTTGATGCAAAATCTGCGAGTACTAAAACATAAGAAAATATGTGTATTACATGCATTTAGAAATTTCATTTATCTTTATACATGCAGTTGTATGAAATCCTTTAGATTTAATCTTTTGGAGATAATATACTTTTTTCTTCTTTTTTTCTAAATAATCTGGACAATGGAGATTGATGAAGACAATCCAGTTGCTTCTACGGGAACGCTTACTTCTACAACGGGGACACCGTCTGCTTCTACCGGTACGCCTACTGCTTCTACCGGCACGCCTTCTGCTTCTACTGAGATGCCTACTGCTTCTACCGGGACGCCTACAGCTTTAACTAGGACGCCTTCTGCTTTTACTGTAACAACTACTGCTTCCACAGGGACGCCGACTGTTGTTTTCAACTCGGGCAGTGTACGTATAACAATTACAATAAAAGCATTAAACACGTGGTGTATCGTAATATTACAACTGAAATGAATGACTAGACTGATGTGATCCAACAAGTGGGTTATACATTTCTTGGGATTACAACAGAAAAACATCAATATACTGATGAATAATCATGTACGGACATTCGGTAGAGGTAACTAGATTTCACAGTACATTGTCAAATAATGCATACAAGAAATAAAATGAAATATCACATATCTTGTAAACTGAAAAAATAGATATTTCATTCATCGCTATGCTACTTGGGAAAATATCTCTACTCGATAAGATACAATTGCTATATCATTGCAAACATCTAGTATCCACTATTACTATTTTCCCAATGTCTCTTGTAAACGTCACAATACATGACGTAAAACGTCACGCAATCGCTGATGTGCCCCTTCTGAACATTGTGATTTGAGTTTTGGTTGGGGAAAAATCAAGGTCAATGTCAACTGGATATTTATTACTTTTATCAACCTGTGTGGATATACTTTATATCCAAGGTACTCGGTTGTGCTTCTTTATGTTTTATACTTTATTGTTTCGTCCCCTTGCAGGCAATGCAGTCAATTTCAACTGATGATTCACTACCAGATCTAGACACTGTTTCATCAGAGGGCGAGGAAGCCGAAATTGGTGTTGAAGACCAAAATGGTGAAACTGTATGCAGCATGGTCACATACAATGGCATGGATTCTGGTGAAGAAAGTGACTTGCCAGTATTTGACATACCAAGGCAGTCCAACAGGAACCTTGTGCATACTCGGAGTGTCCAGCCACTCTCCCTCCAGCCTCCACCCCTTAGACTTGAGGCCGTGCGGTGAGAGAATTATCTATGTGATTCAAACATAGGGGAAACATAGTTTCATCAGTAAAATGAAATAACTTAAATCAGCCATGCTAATAAAGTAAAACGGTTGTCATTTTCCCATTTGATGTGCAGCTTATCAAAACTTCAAGCAGACATCGTCAGTTAGTATCTTGAATGGTTTTTTTAAATTGTTGGGCATATGTTTATGCAAACATAAATCTTAGATGTAAAGTTTGGGGTCAGTTGTATTTCCCTCAGGTCTTATCGAGCGTATTCTTTCATATCCATACAGAAACGGAAAATGTAACATTAAAGTTCTGTTACAAACTGTTAAAATGATTTGGTCTGAGTTCAGATTTCTGTTTTTATTTTATAGCCATTCAGAAAATCTTCACGAGATTTTGACCAGACTCGCGTCAGTGATCAATAAAGAACGACGGAACATTGTAAATGTCACAAGACATAATGTAATGTCAGGTGGCATCAGAGCTTTCAACAGGCCATCTTTCAACCCTGAAAACGGTTTGTCTGTTAAGTTTGCTGGGGAATATGCAATAGACGATGGCGGTCCAAGCAGGGAGTTTTTAAGATTGCTTATGAAAGAAATATCTTCTCTCCCCATATTTACCGGTGACGACACAAAAAAGATGCTAGATTTGAATTACACAGGTAAGAACTGACATGTTTGGTGAAGTGTATGACAGTTGGGAAGATTGTTGCATAACCATTTGTTTGCTTTGAACTTAAGTTTACTGATAGACCTTAGGGTTTTCGACTTGAACTGAACAGGATTATATTGCTATTCAATATTTTGTATATAATGACAGTTTTAGCTCTTTGACATATTCATAGTATACAAAGTGCCTTTGAGCAGCTGAGCTGTTTATCGGCACTATACAAAATGTTAGTATGATTTGAGTATCATTACTAGATATGTTGATACATATGTCAAGCTGTATCACAAAATGTGAAAGGTATAATACATCCATAAAGTAGTATCGAAACAAATTATATCTAAAGATTTATCCATTCACTGACATAACTTTTCTGATTTCAGCTCTACAAAGCGGTCTCTACTTGACAGTGGGGAAGATGATAGCATATTCTGTAGTACACAATGGACCTCTTCCACGGTGTTTCAGTCCACTGCTGTTCAGCACACTTGTTGGCGACAGCCAAATTAGGCCAAAGATTGATGACATCCCAGATGTAGCACAGAGAGAAAGTCTACTGAAGGTCGATTCAAACTCAATTTCCTAATTTTGTTACAAGATGCGTAACTGCCTTATCAACGTTTGTGTGGTCCAAGAATTATACTTCAGAAATATGTACTATTTCAACACTGTTATATTTGAATGTAATTGCAACGATTCTAGTAATTTTTTGGTTGAGAGCCATTCGGGATTTGAACGCACCCCATAAATAATCAGGCATCAATTTGCCAGCATTGAAACTTCCACCATGTACCACCTCAATCATTCAACCACCGGGCATCGAGGCTATTTCTTATACCCAAAATAACATGTTTGTATTTGTTCATCAATTAAATGGCATGAATTAACTGATTTCCATAATTTCTTGTCTGAATTGTTAAAACTAAAGAAATATGTAATGTTTTCCAGATACGAAATGCAGAGGATATGTCTTCCTTCCTGGACGCCGTAGGTTGTGCTGATCAACTTATCCAACTCGCTGGTTGTTACTCGCTTACTCTCTCCGTTGCAAAGAAGGAAGAACTTTGTGATGCCTTGATCCATTTTATTCTGCTAGGCAGAATCAAAGAGTGCCTAGATCAGTATGTACTTCTACCAAGCATTTGAACCAAGGTTCTTGGTTAAATCCTTCCAAAGGTTTTAAGGTAGAGAGAATGCTATTTCTACCAAACAGGCCACTTACGATACACGTTCATGGTGGGTGCTACCGCTAGAGCAGGACACGTCCCCCATTTCATGAACACCTGGTGTCATTCTGATTTGTAATCAGTATTCCATTCATGTATTTTCCTCTTTACATCGCCACAAATGCCCCAATGAATCTGTTTCGGCAGATACGATAAATGACAGTCCTAAGGCGTTGACGTTTACTATTAAACATCGTTAGGCGCAATCGGGTTCGTTAGTGTTGGTGTTGCTGAATGGTGTCATAATGTAGTAATGATTAAAGTAATTTTAGTATCTGCCACAATTTAATACACAAACATTAATGAAAATACCAGCATATTTGGAATGTTTTCACAGTTAATTCAGTTACTATTCATGACAACGATCTGACCGATGCACAGTTATACACATGAATTTTGACATTTGAGAATTGATCGCTAATAAGATAATGTATGAAACCGTCTTTAGGAGAGCCTTCCAATGACACAAACACATGCCACAGAAAATTTATTAAACTAAAATTTGTTTCATAAAGTGGTTAATTTGTGGGGTTAATGTCTTCTGGGTTTTTATGACATTCATGTCTATTGTATATTAGCACATAATATTTTTGTTCCAGATTCCAAAAGGGACTGGCCACTTTGGGAGTGCTTGCAGAAATGCGTCTTCACAGCAAAGAAGTAAAGGAACTTTTCTGTTTCGATGAAAAGTATGAATTGAATGCGTCCGTGCTTGAAATGGTGTTCCGTGTACCATCATTCTCCGAATCTGGGAGCAACAGGCGCAGAATGGAAGAAGAGACAGTGAGCTATTGGATGGACTATCTTCTGGATGTAGCGGGTAATGGGATAAGACAAACAGTCTGACGTTAGTGTGCTTATAATAAGTGTCAGTTACACGGGGATATCCATATGTAAAGCTGGAACGTGTTTGAGAGGCCAGATATTGAGACATGATCAGGACTGGGAAAATGGTCCCTCTTGTGGGTGTCTATGACCACCTGTTAAATTCTAACTGCATTAATAGTTTGGGAAGACGAATTTTATTTAGTGAGGGAGTGAGTGAGTGAGTGAGTTTAGTTTTACGCCGCACCCAGCAATATTCCAGCTATATGGCGGCGGTCTGTAAATAATCGAGTCTGGACCAGACAATCCAGTGATCAACAGCATGAGCATCGATCTGCGCAATTGGGAACCGATGACATGTGTCAACCAAGTCAGCGAGCCTGACCACCCGATCCCGTTAGTCGCTTTTATTTAGTGAGTGAATATGGTTGGTTACATATTGATTAGTGATTCAATATGTTTGGGTACATATTGTATATTGAGTTAATATGCTTGGCTACCCTTTTTCAAACTATCTTTGTTTGACAAAACTCTATTTCCAGAGGGCACAGAATCAGTTACCCTGAGGGACATATTGGTTTTTGCGACTGGCGCGGGATCCATTCCTCCCCTTGGTCTCCATCCGCAGCCGCAGCTGACATTCCACACTGCAATGGAATGCAACCCTGAGAACAGAGAGAACTTCCCTCGAGCTAACACATGTGCAAATGTATTAGACATTCCAATGATCAGTAATTATAACCTGTTCAAGAAAAACATGAATGCTGCAATCGGTGTGAATATCTTCACTTCCGAGTGAAAAGACGGGCGTGTTGTAACCAGGAACAAGAATGTGTTTGTCATGCATTGTCTTCCCCTTTCAGTCTAGTTTTGCATTTCTTTCACTTTTACAGGACTGTTGTGTTATAACCAAATGAACGTTTAGTTTAATTTTATTGAATGTGTTACTACCAAATAGTGTAACTGATGTTGGTATCTGATTGTTTAAGATTATATTTACACGTGTCCGAAACATGTTTAGAATGTCTTATCGTATCATTTCTTATATGCAAACCAGGTGTTAAATTTTGAATGATTTGATGAGGCATGTTATTAAAGTTTAGTTTAAAGGAACTGCATGTTTTTGTACCACCATGACAATGCTGTGTTCCAGTAGGGTCAGAAGACTGATGGTTTGAATCATTCTATATTTTTGTGCTTTTGGTACAAGAGAAACCTTAAAGTACTGTGCCCTTTTTAAATCTGTCTCTTAACATTTTTAAAGATGAGTAAAACCCATTAGCTCATAGGTTTGTGGCATATAGTAAGCCTGTTATTATGCAAGCTTGAAAAGAACGTTTATTGTAATGAAAAAAGAAGGGTGCAGATATATGTTCTTTCTTGAAAACCCAAAATACGTTATATGACCATTGTATGTTTCTTTTGCAGTCAGCATGATTATTTTGTAATGAAAATAAAATAAAATATTTACGTTGTTGGTTAAGAATTAATACGTTTGGGTACAGAAGGTTTAAAACTTACAAATATCACATCTGTTAACATGTTTATGTGGATTGCATGTTATGAACATCTTATTTTTTTGTGGTGCGGGTTACGCCCTTAGCATTATAGTTGCTTAAAGTATTGTCTTGAAATTGCAGTCATTTTAAAAAGCTGTAACGCAACATAATAAAGAGCCATCAGTTAATAACAGCTGTAACAGAGTATTTTTGTCATTCTTTTAATGTTAATTCATGAACATTTATTTATTTCATGTATCAACCAAGACTGATGTGTTTGGAATACAACGTTCAAAGTATATTATGTGCGTTACGAACTGATATAAAACTTATTATTATAGCTAGTAGTCGTCTGATAATCTTTTCTTCCGATCAGGGCTTGTAATTCAAGAAAGGACTGCGACTATAGAATTAAGACAATTTACGACTGAGGTGTCAGCTTTATTCAGACATTATGTTATTTACGCACTAAGCAAGTAAGGTAAGCTTATGCAGGTAACTGTATGCACACATGTATCTACAAACATTTGTCATAAGTGCAATCATTTGGGAGTTTTAGTTCACACTGGTTTTACTTCTTGTAAAACATCAGTTCTAGAGTGAATCAATGTAAAGTGTGGGAAATGGTTCATGTCTGAAATAGAAACATTCACGAAAGTTTCTGCTCTCATTTATACATGATTGATACAACACAACCATCAATACGAACACGTGTCTCGTGGATGGAGGCAACGAGTTACGTCTGGTAGGATCACAGAACATGTGTATATACATGTAACTTTGTTACACTTTAAGACAGGAATTCGTAGATTTCTTGTCGGAGATGCATGTACAGATCTGCTGCTTCTTGAGCATTCGTTGCCGGTTGTAGGTTGTCTCTCCCCATGATTTTAGTACATATTTCATAAACGTCTTCATCACATGGGATTGTTGAGCGAAGCACGGCTTCCTCGAGGCAGGTAGAGACGTCATCGTCGGACACAGCACAGAGTTGATCTTCAGTTTCCCATAGAGCTGGAGCACTGTACATTTGCTCTGGATGACCACTTGCAACATTGTATCTGGAGGGTCTAATGCAATGGTTGTCCCACACGGCAGCCACGGAATCCAGATCATCCTAAAATGTTAGTGTTAAACAATTGTTTCAAACCGATTTCTCTGGTGTAGATTAAGACATAAAACAGCAAAAACGTCTTTTATCGTGTATTGACCATCGCAGGTAACAGTAACATATTTTATAGTAATGAAAATTATAAACTATATGTCGAAGAAAGTTTACATCCATGAAGTCGTTACTTTATGTATGAACAGTTCCACTTGTATGACATTATACAATAAAGTGTACCTGAACAATAGCCATGAAACAAAACTGGATGAGGTTTTTGTCCAAGAAATCTCCCCTGAAATCCCCATTTTCCTCCAGACCTTTGAACAATTCAATCCAAAACTGTGTGCATTCCTTTCTGAGAAATGACCACCAGACTTCTATTCTTTGATTTGATGTGCTGGAACCATCAATGAAGCATCTTCTGGCTTGTGGATCTGTATTGCCACGTCTAAGATATTGTTGACACTCTCGGACGTGTACATTTTCTGTACCAAGGTCAGCCCTTACAATATGTGGACAACCCCTGAGCGTCCTAACGGCCTCTAAAAAATATCCACCAATTACCTTTGGATTGTTGTTGGTTTTGTAGACCTTGATCCATATTACTTTTCTTGAAAATCCACAAACACAAGCGTGGATACAAAGTCCAAATGGTTTAAGTTTGTCATATCCATCTACATGCCACACAAAATTTGGTCCCTTGGCATAATATAAACGCCGACGCAGTCGCCGAACTCTCCTTGACTCAACTCCCACTGGATCTAGATGACGCAAAATAAGCCGAACGTCTTCCATTCTTGCCTTCAGACCGCTTTGTTGACATTTAGCATACATGATACGGTAGCCACACAGCTGACCTGAAGCTGATAGTTGATCCTGTATAAAACTCACAACATCCACGAGAGGGCTGAATCTACGACGACTCAGATTCATAGTCCTTAGAATTCTCTTAAGGTGCCGCACACTTAGTTTGAATCCATACATGTTATCAAGAATGTACACAATGTCCTTGTAATTGATTCCAAGGTGGAAATAATGTGATATTATTTCTCTGCGAAGGTCTTGATCCATACTATAACCAAGTTTGATAAGTTATGGAATGGTGCAAAATCTGTCAAAATGGCTGACCAAAACTGCAATTCTATTGGTTAACTTATACCGTGGCCACGAGATAATAAGTCGTGGCCACGACTTAGTATCTCGTGGCCACGACTTAGTATCTCGTGGCCACGACTTATTATCTCGTGGCCACGACTATCTTACGACTTATATCTCGTGGCCACGGCTTAGTATCTCGTGGCCACGACTTAGTATCTCGTGGCCTCGACTTAGTATCTTAGTATCTCGTGGCCACGACTTATTATTGATATTTATTTTCTCATCCAATGTCCCTTCTACGGTTCCGTAGGTGGGGAAGTGTCATGATGTGAGGTGTAATATCCAGCTCTAAATTCTTCTAAAATAGCTTATTCTTTTCGATTTTAGAAGAGTGTAAGACAGTTGTAACATTTTTTAAAATATTTTTGCTGTTGTTTTTTGTGTATGTGTGTACAATGTGTACGCTTTTGTAATCGGCGTCATCACTACTCGGCCCTGATTGAGCGGCACATTAGATTTAAGCTCACTGACGACCAGGCACCATGAAGTAAGTAGCTTTTGCATCGAGACTCACACACCTCTACCTGCACCACGCCAAATGGGTCTATTTGGGTCGAATGACGTCATTCGTTTGCGTCATATTGCAAGGACATTAGCCATTGTGTGTAAGTTTTGGAACTAGAACTCTCGTTGAATGTGCATAATATTCGATGTAATGCATAAGATACATAAGTTGCTTGTGATATCTGTGCGATTCTTGACTTTGAAACTCAGTGCTAGATAACTTTTTTTAAGGTTGAAAAGGTGCGAGACACACAGGTATATCTGTGTGTATACCTGCCCTTTAAATACGGTAACTGCTGTCCCCATGCATGTGTTTTATTCTATACTAGCCACATAAAGAAACTGTGCATTGTCAAAATATTATCCCAGTTGATAAGTACGATAACAATGTCAAAGGTACATATAAACTTTAATGGAGGGATCATGAGACCATAACTAGTCGGGAGAATTTCAATTGAAAAGTCAATCACAAAGACGTCACGAGTCCACAAGCGGGACGGGGGTCAAACAACCATGTCATGAGCTCAACAACGGGTATGTCCACCAGCGGCATTGAGAACAGCAGTGCATCGACGACGCATAGAGCCTATCAAACGTGCAAGGAAGGCTTGTGGGATGTCACGCCAGATTCTCTCAAGTTGTGTTGCAAGGTCAAGGACGTTATCTGGCGGATGAGGAAGACGGCGTAGACGTCTATCCATCTCGTCCCAAACATGCTCTATCGGGGAGAGATCCGGTGAATTTGCAGGCCAGGGCAGTAAGTCAACGTTGTGGTGTTGCAAGAAATCCATAGCAACCCTTTCCGTATGAGGGCGGGCATTGTCCTGTTGGAATGTTAACCCAGGGCCATGACGTTTGAGAAAAGGAATTGCCACAGGTCGAAGAATCTGATCCCTGTAGCCCACACCAGTTAGGTTGCCCTGAACAATCACCAAAGGAGTTTTTTGGCGTGCTGTTATTCCACCCTAATTAATCACGGAACCACCACCAAAGCGATTCCTCTCCAAGACACAGGCCTGTGCATAACGTTCTCCCACTCGTCTATAGGCACGTTGACGTCCATCACTATGGGGAATGTTAAACCTGGACTCATCTGTAAAAACAACATTTCTCCACCAAAACAAGGGTCTGCGGACATGATTTCGGCACCTCATTCGGCGAGCTTGTCTATGACGTTGTGTCAGGATAGGCCGTATGGCGGGACGTCGTGGTCTGATCCCGTGATGACGTAAACGTTGTCGAACTGTGTTGGGGTGGATACGGAGAAGTCCTGGGATGGTTCGGGCAGTCATCACTGCAGTTTGAAACCTGTGGCGAAGATGGGTCACCCTTATCCATCTGTCCTGTTTTGGCGTTGTTATACGTGGACGTCCAGAACGTGGCCGATCGATGACGTCATTTGTGTTCTGGTAGGGTCTCACCAATGCAGAAATGGTGTTCCGGTGGCAGTGGAAATGTGCAGCCACTTGTCGTTGAGACATTCCCCCACGTTTCAATAGCCGTTTAATGTTTTGAACGATCGCAAGAGCA